GCCGCGCCGCGCGCGCTTTTCGGCGAAGTTGAATTGCTCGCCCGTTTTGCCGATTTCGTCGCCCTGTCCGTTCATCCCTGCGTGCTCAATCTCGGTGACACGCCTAAGGGAAAACTCCGCACATGCATTTTAATCAAAAGTGTCAACGATGAGAACATTTTTTTCTCGTACATTTTGCGCAATCTCTTTGTTTTTCAATTAAAAATTATCGCGCGTGTAAACACACACGCGCGCGCGCGAATCTACCCAGTCTAAGACGCTCAGATCAATGCGCGCCTTCGTTTTTCCGATAATCGCGCGAAGTTTCGTCGCTCGATCATATTATTCTCTTAAACGTCAGACAATTCGCTTTTTATAGGGCGCGAAGTTATCCCCGGCGAAGTAGTGCGTTTCGTGCCGTATTGTTTAAGGGCAATTTAACGTGCAATTACAACGTTGGAAGGGCTTTTCAAAAGCCATATTTGGCGAATAATTAATTACCCGCTTTTAAAGAAGGAGAGAGAAAGAGAGACACGCGAACGCGGATGTTAAATATATTCCAAAACTTACACGCGTCACTAACGCTGACACGTGCACGTGTATGTTACGTGCGTACTTACACATGCATTAGATCTCGTTGCGGATTGGAGGAAGGGGGAGGGTTGTTGTAAACGGTCAGCAACGGTGCGCAGTCTCTCGTCTGGGTTAACAACACCCTAGAGCTAAAGAGTGTATTAGCGCGTCAGATCGTTAGGGTCTACATGGTGTCAAGCGCATCCCGTCGTATGAAAATTTCCGGGGCGAGTATAGGTGAATTAATTCGTCGCGGAGACGAGGCGTATAACTTTCTCACCTTTTAGGAGAGAGCCTCGCCCGCGCGTTTATATAGCGCGCGACACATAATTACCCGCCCGGTATATTTTGCAAGCCGGTTGTTGACTTATTCACATCTGCACCGGCGTCGTTGCTTAAACGACGTTGTTTACAATTTACAGAACTACAACATGTAATTTTCAGAAAAATCGAATCTCTCCTCTGAGAGATATTATCTTTTTTAAAGTGTACTTTAAAAAACATGTTTATTCAGGACTGTTTGTGTGTTCCGACCTGGTTGCAATCTCTTATAAAAATTTTATGGAGATTAAAAAACTTGCTGCAAATTGGAGTTATTATTGAATTATAATCGAATACACAAATAAATGTCGAAAAAAATAGAAAAAAAAAACCGATTTGATCGAAACACATATTGTGTCTTATGATAATTATGTAATTTTGGAGATAATTTTTTATCGCCGATTGAAATACTCTTTTTGCGCGACTGAAAATTTGCTGTATCGCAGTGATAAGCAGGTAATTACCCGAGTCTCATCTATCATTTTTTTTTTTTAGATACTTACTTTTTTTAACGTATCCATCTTACCGTTCGGCGAAATTTTGATGACGTGTACGCTATTAAATTTTCCGGGAAAAGTACTCGAATTTCTATCATCGTGCGCGCTCTCAAAATTCTATCAGATTATATAACTACAATCAAATTCATCGTAATTTGCGATGAATTGATTTCGGCACTACGTGCCTGTGAACTGTGATTGACTTCTGGTTAAACGCGTATTCTGCAATATTACAATCGTTAGGTATAAATGCTACAAATATTATTGACACGCAATTGGGCGAGCGGCGAGTCAGCGCGTTACACCGATAAAACGAATCATGTAATTGATAGAATTATTAGTGTCGCATTGAGGTCTATAATGATGCCAACACGTATCGCGAGTTGAACGTGTTTGCATTAATGGCTTCATTGCTTGTTTCGCACTCAATGTGAATGAAATATATAATAATGAAGCGTCTAATCTGTGTGTAAGAGGAAAACGGATATCGTAATTTTCTGATAAAAAAGTTCGCAACTTTGATATCGTCTCTGCAAGTTTTTACATTCAACAATTTTGCTCGGAGTTTTTTTATTATTTAACAACGTGTACGATTAATTTTTTTGTTCAAACTTACAATTCGTAAGAATTTTCGCGGAACAACGCAACGAAATAAAACTTTTTATGAATAAACAATTTTTTTTTTTATACGAACTTCTCAACTTATCTTGTCACTGTGATGAGACAGACCGAGTTTTTTTATTTTCAATTTAAATTCAAAAGTCGCGAATATTCCATTATGTGATATAACAATTCTTGTTATTAGAATTATTTCCTTGTTCGTTTCCATTATCGCAACGCTTGGACATTTGATACGCGCGTACACACAGTAATCGATGACTATCGTTGTAATTATGATAATTAATAAACGCGCGACAATAAATCCCAGCCATTTGGAAAGTAGCCTTGACTGAAGGGTCGCTTTCATTGCGGGAAAACTTTTCGATTGATGATACGATTATGATCGCGGCTATTCGCGTGTGTTGCTTTGAATAACCGTTCGTGTAAACAACTCTACTCGACGAGCGCTTATGGTCGTGACTCGCTTTCTCAATGCGAGAGCGATTCCCGCTCTCGCTATAAAGCGGAAAAACACATTAACGCGTCAAAACCCGTTTAACTCGCGCGGTGTCAAGCGCACACGCCTGCTCCTCCTCCTCCTCTCTCTCTCTCTCTCTCTCTCTCTCTCTCTCTCTCTCTCTCTCTCTCACTCTCTCTCGTCCTCCCTCGAGTGACCGAGGCTAGTCGGGGCGTGCATCGAAAATATCCGCGTAAAACGTTTCATGGGAGATATTAAAAAATAATAAATTACATTAAATTTCAATCTCTCTAGGTCGAGAGCGCCGGGGTATTAATGATGGCGCGCGGTGTCAAACGCACGCACGGCGCGGCTCGGCGGATGCGTGCGCGAGCGCCGAATAAGATATACGTTATGCAAAAGTGTCGAAAATTTTTGCCCGTGTCATCCCGACCCGTCCATCGGCGCGTGAAACACACTTTGAAAAATATTTCGACTGTCGAAAATGTCGGGGAGGAGAGAGGGGAAAATGTTGTTGAATTATGCGCGGCCGAAATGGGCAGCGAGCGCGTGCTCCGTTTTGTACAATCGCTCCCGAAAAATTCTTCTCGACTATGAATGTGATATGTTGTACAGATGATTAAACAAATGCGTATATATGCGTTTTATGATGAACAGCATTTTTTACAACACAATGCGATTGTTTTACGTGTTACATAAGGTCTAACGTTATATTAGAAGAGTAGAAGTGTGTAGAGTTTTTTTAATCATAGATATTACTAACAGAGACTACTTGTTGTCGTCACATATCGGAAAAAGCGAGAGATAAGAAATTGTTATCGCGAACCGAACGATGAAGTCGTTCGTAAGCGAAAGTGATTTTCGTTTCTGAGCGTCGTGAACGTCTGTGAATTATCGGTACATTACCGCGATATCAATCAGGTACAGCGCGAAGTGTTGTATCCGTGCGGGGGGTGAGCAGCCCCTTCCCCGAAGGCGGTGAGTCCGCCGTGATGGTGTCAAGTGCACACCACGTCAGCGGCGGCGAATGAAAATTCGGAAAGCAGTTTAGGTAGATCAACCCCGCGCTCGTCGGGGTCAACGATTCGCTCTCAAGGTAGAACGCGTATAATAAAGTGGCTAATGGGGCGACTACGGGGCAGGCCGAAACTAGAGCGGGCGAGAGACTTTCGGGGGTTGCTTGGTGTGTGCGTTTGACGTTGACCTGTTTCGTCGGTTCTCTGCGAACGCGCGAATCCTTAACGCAGGGAAGTAACGGCTTCCCTCTTCTTTGATTACGGGCGATGTACCGTGTTAAGATACATCCCTTTGTGCGGAGCAATTTTGCCTGGGGTTCCTTTTTTTTTTCACGTGAGATAGACGCCGAACATCTCGCGCAAAAACTCGTAAAACTCGCAAATTTATTCTCTCTCGCACTCGAGCGGTACGTTCGATTTTTCAATTTCTGTTGCGAACTAATGCAATAATTTGTGAATATTATGTACTCATTGGTTATAATAATAATTATTAACGCAATGCAATGTGAACGCAACGATTCGCAGGTGAAGATCTGGTTTCAAAATCGGCGCATGAAGTGGCGAAACAGCAAGGAACGCGAGTTGCTGGCGACCGGTGGCTCGCGCGAGCAAACGTTACCGAACAAGAACAATCCCAATCCGGATCTGAGCGACGCCGACGGCGATCGTCCGAGAATGGATCTGAGCGACGTGAGTCCGCTCACAAGTCCGCAGAGGCCCGAGGAACAAACGGAGAACGAGGAGGACGAGGAGATCAATGTCACGTGATAAAACTCGCCGCTGGACTCGGCGCGTTCCCCTCCCTCGTTCGCATTTTGACAAAGTAGCGACAATTTTTAATTCGTAAATTCAAGGAGAATATCGGCTGGACCAAACAGATTTGAGCGAGTGGTTTTTGGCGGGTGATCGAAATAAAACAAATGCAAAAAAATTGATTCAAAAATCGAACATCTTCGTTTTCGATATGTATCATGCGTTATTGTAGGATTTTTAATATTGTTCACTACTTTGTCCGATGTGTCTCTTGAGTCTCCCGCGTTATATATATGTTTATGAAAAATGCCATGCAAAAGGCAAATACGGCGTTTAATTGTGCTCTCCAACCGATCGATTTTCTTTTTTTTTATTGGCAATTACATTCGCGGAATTATTGTGTACCGGCTGTGTTCTCGAGTTTCTCACGTAAGAATAAACGTGTTAGACACAAATTGTATGCAATATCTCATCTCGTTCGAGCCTGAATTTCTAGCAACACAATTTTAATTGTTTATTAAGTAATATCGATATGTTTTTACGCAATTCTTTATTGCGAATTATTCTTCGCGACTAAAAACAAGACGCAAATTGGTCCCGAGCGAAACGACGAATGATGTATTATATTGTAATTAGCAATCGTGGATGTACCTTCAAGGAGTCTTCTATAAGCCATTGTGTAAGGTTGTATTAGACATAACTTTACGATTCCGGAAGTATGTACCTAAGCCTAATTGTAACGCGGCTGCGCGCGTGGCCAAAAAAACCCGAATGTAATTATACTCATTGTGATTCAATATAATCTATGTAATATACTGAAATAAAACTGTCTATGCTAAGCGATTTTACATTTCTAACGTTAATAATGATAACGAATAAAAATTTCAGGTCCAGCGCATCGTCGTTCTTTCTCGCAATTTATTATAACAATGATTAGGAAAAACGATAAAGAAATTAACAAGGAAATAAATTTCGTACATAAGAGAAAATTTTTTATAATATTTTCCATTCAATAAAGATTTCAAAATCATTACAGAATGGTAATTTATTATAAATTTTTTCACAGGAGAAGTAAACAGAGCAGCTTTGAATAAAGATAAATTTTTTTTACAGTACATCGCAATATCAGAAGTAAAAAGATGGTGTCTCGTTTTATGATAGATTATGTTATAATAACGAAGAATAAATAAGCTCCCCTGTTTACTGTCAATATGTTTATTTAAGCATAAATTGTAAAGTGAAAGATATAAAAAAATTCAGTCTGCATTTATCCCGGATATTTAATAATAAACATAGCAGTCCAATTCTCATGTTGATGCCATCATGTTAACGTTGTTATAAACACAAAAATATTTATACATACCACGCAATCACGTAAAATATAAATTTTTGACTGAGAGAGTTCAACTTCCATATTTAATGTCAAGTGAACAAATGCAGACCGCGCTATTACCTTTCTACTTCTGATATCGTACAGTTTTTATTTTCATAAGGATTCCCCGCGATCGGACTAAAGTTTGCTCCACTAACTCTTGTCCATATCTTACAACACTTGGCGTCGCTTTAATTATTTTGGGCTTGCGGTTTTGACCATTCCACACTCAGAATAAGATGATCGTAACCGTAACCATCCAAGGTGGCAATCGCTCTCGCGGCATCAGCTCTATGCTTGAAGTGAACGTATGCAAAACCTTTGCAGAGATTCGACAACTTCTCCTTGGCCAAGAACTGCTTCACCACGGAGCCGAAAGGCTTGACAAGCTCGTCTAAATCGGCATCGGTGGTGCTTTGCGAGAGATTTGATATCCTGATCGCGGTAGTGTCGTCACGCCTCTGCATCTGCATCGAATCACCACGTTTGTTGCCGCCATCGCGCATACCAGGTGGCACATACTTGCCACCTTGCGGTTTGAGTTCCGCCATCGCACCTGGTACTCCCGTGTTGACAAGAGGTTTCTTATCGTCTGGAACTTTTCCTGAAATTGAGAATTTTAGCGATCAAAAACAGATTATATGACAATAAGCAATTACGTTTACAATTTAAATATCATGAACTTAAATATTTAATTGTGTTTGCCGAAATATCGATTTTTTCAAGAAAGTAGCTTACCACCAGCGAGAACAGTATCTTTGTAAGGACATTTAGACGTCCAGTGGTCACCGTTACAGTTACGGCATTTGACGACACCTTTGTCGCCCATGCTCTTCAATTTATCTAAAGAATCTTCCTCTACCTTGTTCTCCTCCTCTTTGCTAGATATAAACTGCATGAAGACATCTTCACCAATTACAGTAGTAGCTGGATTGGGTCCTGGCCTATCGTCGGCGGAATCGCCAAATTTTGCCCAATTTTTCCGCGCAGCAATAGTTTTCGATACTATGCGTCGTTCTGTTTTGTAAGTACGCACAACTTTGACTTTTTTATTATCTTGATTGTACTTGTATTCAGTGAGAATTTTAAATCCATTTTCCTGGACCTCCGAAGGTGGTGGCAATGCTCCTCCTTCCTCCTCGACTTCATCAGCCCAACTGGACTTTACCTCGGCAGGCATTTCTGCAAGTTTAGCGCCATATTATGTACATTGTAACACACATAATTATTCTTCAAGTTTGTAGAAGTGCATAATTTATTAATTCAAATACATGAATTTTAATTAATTCTGATATTTAATTAATTCTATTAAAGTTGTGTCTATTCTGATGTATCAAAACAAAATAAAATAAATAAAAAACTTAAAAGTTTAAAGTCTCTTTTCAGTTTTTGTGTAATCTAATCAGTTTTTTTTCAGAAAATCTATCTATTTAAGAGAGTTTTATATTTTTTAAATCAAATATACAAAGAGTGAATATATTTCATATACTGACATATATATATATATATATATATATATATATATATATATATATATAT